ACTTGTGTCCCCCAGGCACCCGGGAGGCTCGGAGGCTCTTTCAGGAGGAAGCCTTCGCTGAAGAAAGAGTAAGTACGCTTGATTTTATTTGGGATTCCTTTGCAAGCCGCCTTCCCGGCTGACTTTCCCCCCTTTATAGTCTATAAACCACGCAGGACCGGGCTGGTGGCTGAGCCCCGCTCGGCAAACCCGGACTTATTTCCATACTCAGCAGAATTGGGGTTTTTAAGTGGTTTTGCGGGGTGCCGGGCAGTGTCGGACGCAATCCGCTCACCGCAAGCGCCTGGGAAGGAACTGACTGCCGGTAAAGTATCCCAGGGACGCTGCCCCCAGGAAAACACACAGTTTATTTAATTACATTTTGAAAATTAGAACTCCCCTCTGTGGGACAGGCAGGGCAAGGTGCAGGATGCCTGACGCTCCTTGTTTTCACTTGCGAGTTTTTTAAATTCACGATGCCCGGAGTTGCTGCGTTGTGAAAAAAAAACAAACCAACCCAATATTCACACTCCTCATACTTTAGAGAGAAAGCCCCAAATCCCCACACTCCGCTCGTGTGATTTGATCCGGCGGTTGTAACCCTGAAGGAAAACACGACAGAAAATGTCCGTGAAAAAGTGGAAAAAACCCAAGAAAACTTAAAAATTCTTTTAAAAATCAATTAAAAGGATGCATTGTGGGGTCTTTGGTGCTGGGCTGGCCAGGGCAGCGTTCAGGTACCACAGCAATGGGTGGCTGTCCCAAAATAGAGCCTATAAAGGAGCAGACGTCTCTGTGCACTGCCTGTGCTCCCATAAGCATGGTGACATCTATACTGGGTTCATCATATGTGCTGGGTTTTGGGACAAAACCCATGAACTCTGCCAGGCTGAGGAGTTTTGGATCAAAAAGAGACGTTGAAATGGTCCCCTTGGTCTCCTATGCTGCCATAAATCAGGAGCAAACCCTGCGACGCTAAAATGGGGTGAAATAGGGGCTCGTTTGGGGAACTGGGACCATGGAGGACCAACAGCAGGTACCTGCAGTGGTAGCCAAGCCCCAAAACACCTCCTGTCCCCACTGGCTCCGGCTTCCCACGCTCTCAGCTCTCTGTGGAGATAAGCCTGGTTTCTGCTGAACAAAACTTTGCCATCGGGTTGAGACAGGGGGCAACTGCTGGGAATTCCCAAAAAAAGCAGCCCCGGTGCTGTTTAACCAGCACGGATAACTGCACATTAATGCAAGGAGAAGCTGGGGTCTTGCCGGGAGTGAGAAGAAAACCACAAAGACAGAAATAAACCCTACTTGTGGGTATCTGTTGGTGTATGCGTGCACACACATCACCGTGCCAGGAGCTCTGCAATAGTTGTCAGGGCTGGGTTTGGGGTTTGTATTTTGCAATGGAGCATTCGGTCCCGCTGCTGATTTGCAGACGCAGATGTGCCCAGCTGATCGTTTGGTTATGCAAAGACGTGGAAAAATGCAAAGAAACATCAACATGCGCAACGCAAACCTCATTGCTTTTCTCCCAGGCTGTTTATCAGCCCTTTGCAGGGCCGGGATGATTAGAAAGCCCGTGACAAATTGCTTACTTAGCTTCCCAGCTTCCCTATTTCTGGGCAGAATTCACCATGCATCAGCCTAAATCTGTGTTTACATTTGTGTTTTGGTTTTTTTTCTCTCTCTCCTCTCTGTAGGCAAAATGGCAAGAAAAAACTGCCCAGCTTTTTTGGGTTAGAAGGAGGGCAGGAGAGAGATACGACCACAGACAAAATCCTGCAGTATATTCCAGGAAAGGCAAGTACAAACACATCTACCCCCCGCTTCCCACCATTCCCAGAGATTATTCCCACCCATCCCAAGGACAGGGCTGGATTTGGGGCACCATCTCAAGGGGATGCAGGTCGCATCTGCAGCCCAGGAAGGGACACAGCTGCCCCAAGGTCCCCATGCAGGCGTTGAGGGGTCCTGCCGTCGGCCAAAGCCACATGAGATGGGGTGCGAGGTGCTGAGAGCGAAGCGCGGTGGGAAAATCTCACACCCCTTCCTCTTTGCTCTTGGGTTTCTGGAAAAAGGGAAGGGAAAATGCGAGCGAGCATTGGAAGGTGCGGTGATTCATTCCCACGCTGGAATGAGACGGAGCAGGCAGCGTCTTAGCAATGAGCGCTGGGAAGGTAATCAGGAAGGGCAGGTCTGCCCCGGGCACGTACCAGCCTGGTGGCCACATGGCCCATTTCCCAGCGCTGTGCAGTGAAAGTGGAGGTGAAACCACGAACCCCAGTGTGTTTGCTGGGTCCCGTTGGGTGGGGAACGAGCTGTGCTGCACAGCAAACAGGCTCTGTGGATAGGAGGGCAGGGGAAACTGAGGCAGAAACAGCTAGACAGGCAATTTCAGAGGAGGCCAGCAGCTGGATGTTATCTCTTGGGTTTCAAGCTGCTGGTTGGGTGTATTTCAGCAGTGATGTGGTGCTCATTGAGGGCTCGGTGTATTGCAGGACCCAGTTCTGCTCATGTACTTTGGGTTGCTGCAGAAATCCAAACATCTGCTTCCCACAGCAGGGACCCTGCACTCCTTTTCCATCCAACTGCTGCCGGGTTGGCCCTTTCCAACCCAAGAGACCTTTGCTTTCCTCCTGTGAGCCTGAGGGTTGGGCAGTGCTTGATGGAACCAGACCCCAGACACATCCCAGACATATCCCCTGGGGAAACAGGGAGACCTTAATGTTAGTGGATCCTGGAAGATGAGTCCTGTGACTCAGGACAGAGGTCACCCAGAGATTATCCATTTGGGAGCAGAAGAGAGTGTGGGATCTCTTTGGGGAAGGGAGGAAGGTGGAGCAGCTGTTTGGATGTTACCCTCTCCTGGGGCAGATGGGATGCAAACTCTGCTCAGCCACAAGCTTCTTGTGTGGCCTGGAGGAAGCCTTGGCTTTGTCCCGTTCCCACTCCTGTCTTTTCAGGAGAAACACCTTCGAAAGTGGGAGTGATGGTGCTGCGGGGTCACATTAGGTTGATCCCATCACTGTGGGGCTCTTTGGATGCAATCTCAGAGGAGACGGGGTTGCCAAACCTCTGGCCATGGCAGGCAGTTTGGTACTGGGGCAGGTGACATCCCCAGAAACCAGGTCCCCTCTGGACCCCACCACGAGGAGCTGGCACACAAAATCAGTGCCTTCTGCCCCATTTCCCACACTTCCCAGTTACGACTCCTACAGCAGAAGCAAGGGGGCAGGATGTGCCAGAAGAGCCATGCCTCTCATTTGCTTCTTTTATCATAAACCAGCAGCTTTCGGAGCCCCAGGGCACCAGCGGCTGAGCCCTTCCTGCTGCCAGGGTTCGTGATTCAGCCCGGAGTCACTGGGGGCTGCAGGGGCTGAGGCAGGTTAATTATTAACTCGCTCTACCTGAAGGATGAGGCATCCCAGACGGAGGGAGAGAGCCAGAGAACATGTCAGGGCGCTTGCACCGCTGCCTCGCCAAAACCCTGAGGAAAAGCAGGTTTTCCAATGATCTGCGCTGCCTCTGACCCAGCGGGATCGCTGAGCTAACGGGAACGGTGCTGATCAGGATGGGGCTGGGAGGATTTTGGAGGGATGAGAAATGCAAGTTTTCTTTCATTTTGGGTGCACATTGAGGCATCCCCGTGGTTTTCGGGACTGTGCGTGCCAGGGATATCAGTGATGCTCGTGGAGGAGGCTGGTGGCTATAACCCTGTCTCGGAGAGGGCAGGGATGCACTTGCACATCTGATCCCAGAGACATCTGAGATTCAGCACGAGCTCTCCGAGCTGGGGTTGCTAGATGCTTGTTTAGGAGAGGAAGGTATGGCATTTGATTTGTTTCTTGCTACGTAGCAGCAGCAGAAGCTCTCCCTTTCCCTCCTGACCCCAGTAGGATCCCTATGGGAGCTGGCGGGTGGGCTGAACTCTGCCAAAAATCCTGCCGGGATCCCAGCTCCCAGATTGCTTTTGCTTTTGGGACCTTACTTATGGCTGGGGAATTTGGCAGCCGGATTCCAGCCAGCAGCATCGCCCAGGCAGCTGGTAGCCAGCATTGCTGCTTATCACCGTGTCCGTAATTTCATTCCTGTACCCTCTCCTCCTTCCCTGTTGCTGGTTGCTGCCCTTATCGGAGCAGTGTTTTGTTTTTGCAGCCACAGCTGTCAGGTGCTCAGTTGCTCTTTGTTCTGACGGCAGCTTGTAGCACGAATGTAATTGCTTCCTACGCTTAATTGCCTCTGAGCGAGACCATAAATTGGCAGCCAGCAGGTTCCCACCTCTGGGCGAGGACCTGGGTACCTGCTCATGGGTCCTGCATGGAGCTGGCTGGAAAAGCTGGAGGGAGCCTTTGAGCGGAGAAGGGGTTAATTTGTGTCCTAAAGTGAGTTATCTAAATAACTGGAAGCAACCCCAAGCTGCAAAGGGTGAAAGGGTCCCGACAGCATTGGGATCCCCTTACTGGTCTACCAGTTCCCCTGATGCCTGTGTGTCTGTGGTGTGGTGAGCAGAGGGTTTCATGTCACAGCAGAGGGGTTCATGTCACACTGGAGGGGTTCACGTCATGCCAGAGGGGCTCATGTCATGCCAGAGGGTTTCATGTCAAAGCAGAGAGGTTCATGTCATAGCAGAGATGTTCCTGTCATAGCAGAGGGGTTTGTGTCATAGCAGAGGGGTTCATGTTTTAGCAGAGAGGTTCCTGTCATAGCAGAGGGGTTCATGTCACAGCAGAGGGGTTCATGTCGTGCCAGAGGGGTTCATGTTGTGCCAGAGGGGTTCATGTCACAGCAGAGGGGTTCATGTCGTAGCAGAGGGGTTCATGTCGTAGCAGAGGGGTTCATGTCGTGCCAGAGGGGTTCATGTTGTGCCAGAGGGGTTCTTGTCACAGCAGAGGGGTTCATGTTGTGCCAGAGGGGTTCATGTCATGCCAGAGGGGTTCATGTCACAGCAGAGGGGTTCATGTCGTGCCAGAGGGGTTCATGTCACAGCAGAGGGGTTCATGTCATGCCAGAGGGGTTCATGTCGTGCCGGAGGGGTGACTCATGGAGGCCCCAGCAAGAGGGATCTGGTTGGCTCTGCTGGCTCTTCATTTATCACAGGCGCACGCAGCTGTCCCCTTGGCACAGCACTGGGAATGGGCACATGCGGGCCCCTGTCTCCCCGTCCCCGCTGAGCCCCAGCAGCCTGCTCCTTCCTGGAAATGCTGATTTGGGCAGTATGAGCCCCCGGGGAGCCCCATGCCATTGCTACACCCTGCCTCCCTGCTCCAACACAGCCATGCCCTTGCTGGAGGCATCCCCAGGGAATGCAGCCGCCAGTGCTTGGAGTGGGGTCCCAAGCTTTTCACCCCTGGGATTTACACAGTATCCAGACAGTGCAGCAGCATCTTTGGGAGCGGTGTAGGGTTCTGAAATGACAAACTCCACCTAGAGAAACCCAGGGATCAGAGCAGATGAGAGAGCAGAGGAGTCCAGGTGGACCTAGAGCAAGGAAAACCTTTCCACTGACCCCAGTGTTTGCTGAGCCTTGGTCAGTCCTTGTTCCAGGGAGTTTGATTAGGATGGCAGAAGGCCATCCATGGAGTTGGGAGACCCTAAATGTAGGATGTGCTTCTGCACCCCCTCTATCCCAGCCCCTTTAGGTCAGCATCTCCTCCTGCCGAGGGAGGACAGCCTCCCAGCAGTAACCCAACCCCAGCTCCATGCTGGCATGGAGACTCGATAACAAACAGCCCAGCGCCTTTTCGGGGAAGCCCTTCTGGGAAGATGCTCTGGGAATGTCTCTTCCAGACGTCAGACCCCCACCGACTCTGATTTGTTTTTCCCGAATCCTTGGTACAGAGTATTGAGAACCAGGAAAACCAGAAAGAAAACTTGGACCAGAGGTTCCCCAGCCTGTGCAAGAAGGGACGAAGGAAAACGGTGGTCAGGAATCTGGGGAAAATTATTTATTACTCCAAGGTCAAGTTTAAGTTCCAGCACTGCCAGGTAAGCTGCGACACCTTTTTGTGGGTGTTCTCCCCCCCAGTGACCCTGCACGACTGAGAAGTAAAGTGTAATTTTGGGAAATGTGACTCATGGAAACTTCTTTGGGCTGTGGCGTGGCCCAGGGACTCCTGCTGCAATGCAGTGCACGGGTATGGGCTGGTACCCACCAGCTCCCATCCCAACAGGGACCTGGGCTGGCAGCAGATGCACCAGCAGACATGCAGTGGTGGCCCTTGGATAAGTGACCTTGGCTTTGCAGTGCACAGATCAGTCTGAGATGCAGAGGGCAGCTGCGAGGAGTGAAGTGTCCCAAAATAAACCCCAAAACGTGTCTATTCTGCAGGAGGTGAATGACTGCTTCTTGGAGCTGTTCCAGTCTTACCTGTACTTCCAGTCTACGGGCTCCAATGGACTCACCTACCAGGTAGGGCATCTCCTGGGCACACTGGGGCAAGCACTGTGGGGGCACTGGGAGGATGGGACAGAGCCTTCACTGGGTGGCCTCAGCAGGTCCCTTCCTGTGGATGCCTGGGGGAACAGAGCATCCTGTGGCATCCTGGGGTGTATTAGAAAGGGTGGTTGTAAGGCAGAGAGGTTCTCCTGCCCCTCTGCTCTGCCCTGCTCACACCTTAGCTTCAATCTTGTGTCCAGTGCTGGGCCCTCAGGTCAAGAAGGACAGGAACTGCTTGAAAGAGTCCAGCAGGGCCACAAAGATGATGCAGGGAGTGGAGCATCTCCTGCTGAGGAGCGGCTGAGGGAGCTGGGGCTCTTGAGCTTGGAGCAGAGGAGACTGAGGGGTGCCCTCATTCCTGGGGATCCATTGGGAAAGGGCAGTGTCAGGAGGAAGGAGCCAGGCTCTGCTCTGGGATGGCCAATGCCAGGACAAGGGGCAATGGTCCCAAGCTGGAGCACAGGAGGTTCAAGCTGAAGATGAGGCCAAAGTTTGTGAGTGTGAGGGTTATGGAGCATGGCCCAGGCTGCCCAGAGAGGTTGTGGAGTCTCCTTCTCTGCAGACACCCAAAGCCCTGGCCGTGTTCCTGTGTGACTGCTCTGGTGATCCTGCTGTGGCAGGGGTTGCACTGGGGGAGCTTTCCAGGTCCCTTCCAACTTCTCATACTCTGTGATTCTGTGAGAGCATCTCTTCCTAAGGACTGGACCCAGACAACCTCGGTGCCACCTTGGCTTTGGCTGTGGGGAGAAATAAAGGACCCCATGGAGGGTCATCACCCTGCGTCCATCAATCTTTTAACCTGATGATGCTGGTGAATTACAAACAATAGGCTGGTTTGCCAAAAATCACAGCCAAACAAACAGGAAGCCCTGAATGTGCTCTCTTTCCACATGAGTAACTAAAACTAGGCTGGGCTGTAGATGTTCATACAATTTGTTCCTTTTAGAAATGATTTATTTTCTAGGTGGCTCGAGGTTAATGCAATATGCCAATACAATCTCAAGTCATCCAGCAAGCCAGCCTTCAACTGGAAAAACGCAGGACACAAACAATATTACAAAATCTCCCATCTACTTTATAAGCAGTTCCTTAGATTCTTATTTCTGGAAGAATTAAAAAGGAATTAATGTGCCAAAAGGAATTAAGGACCCTTGATATTACAGCAATTAGCATTTTTTACAGTCCTTGTTTAGAAAGCCCAAGACAGGGCACACAAACTTGTCCTCTGCTCCTATGCTTCGTTATGGTGGGACTCTGATGAACCGGAGGATAGAAACCAGACAGCTCAATTTTGCTTTATGGCCATTTCTGTCTTCTTGTGCTAAACCAGCAATGGGTTTTTTTGAGATTTCTCTTAAAATCGAACAGATTTGGAACATAAAGGAAGTCTTCTTGCCAGCATGGCAGAGGATTGCTGCAGTACCGGCCCCACAGAGCCCAGAGAGCTGCTGAATCCCCTTCTTCTACATTCAAGTCCCAAATATTCCCCCTCAGAGCAATGTTTTGCAGTCTGATACCTCAAACCTGCTGGGGCCAGGTCTGGGCTTCCAGCCCCCTATGGCAAAAGGGCCCCCCAAAATACTGGTATTTTCTTCTCATGCAGGGACTGCTGCCTTTGAAAGAGCTGAACGTGTGTGCAGTGGAGAAGGGGAAGAGCACGGGGCAGGAGGATCACGCTTTCCGCATCGCAGGTCAGCGCCTCTTCCTTTGCCCTGAACAGAGGGGGTGTGACTCAAAACTGTCCCCACTTTGCGTCCCGCTCTGACCCAGTCCCACATCGGCTGCATGGAGCTGAAGCTCTACCTCCCAGCATCTCATAATTACATAAATTATAAAACAGAGCTGCTACAAACAGCCCATTAATTTTAAGAGCTGAGTTATGGCCTTGTTACACTGTACTTGTACTCTCCGACCCTTTTTTGGGAGTCTGTAACACGAAGGGAAGCTTCTCCCAGGTGTAACCTGTCAGGGGCGTCTGCATGGGGTGGGTGGACTTGTTCTGCTGGTATTAAAACACGCAAGAGTGTGGCTGGGTGGAAAATCGCCTCAAGCTCTGCTGGCTTTGTGTAGGGGAAGAGCAAACCAAAGCCTTTCTGACAGAGAGGGCTGGGTATATCAAGCAGCAGTGCCATGAAGAAACCAGAGAGGTTGTGATATTTAGGATTGCCAGTGAAGCAGTTTTGTTTTTTTTGCTAAAGGAGGAGAAATCAAGGCACGGAGGGCGTGAGAACCTTGTCTGTGGCTTCACACAGGGTCAGGGTTGATGCCTGTTGTCTCATGACTCTGAGACATGAAAGGCACGCATCCATGCTCTTGTGAAATCCCGTGGCATCAGTAGTTCCCCATGAGCTAGGGTAGTTCAGTTCATCAGAAAATGCCAATATGATCATTAAAACCATGGAGATGGAGCGTGGGAATGAAACCCGGCAGCGTGCAGAGTCACTGGCACGGAGAGGTGGATGGTGGCTACCCATCACCTTGGCTTTGTGGTCCATCCCTGGTGCTGATGAAGCTGCTGAGCACTTTGAGTTTCCTCTGCCTCCCCCTTAAACCTTGCAGCTTTTTAGTGCCTCCAGACAGAGAGGTTTGGTTGGGAATAAACTGCTGCTGCTCCGGGAAGGGCCTTTTCACTTCCAGTGTTGTTCTGGAAGCGTTCGCAAGGAAAGAGGAAGGACAGGGCAGAGCAATCGAGCACGAGGGCGGCACAGGTTGCTCAGCACGGCTGTGTCACGGCCCTGCCGCAAATGTGCCCGTGGGGCTGAGGGAAATGGCAGCAGCAGCTGAATTAGCAGCAGCCTGTCAGGCTCTGCTTCGCGGCCTCCCAGGAGCTCCTCGCACCAGCTTCAGGCTTGGGCAGGAGCCTCTCTTCTCATTTTCTCTTCCTTTGGGGCCCTGTTGAGAGGTGGCAACGTGAACAGCCCACAGGGCATGTCTGAAAGGCCACCTTGGAGGAGGAGGCAGAGCAGTGCCATGCAAAGGGCCATGCCCCACCGGCAAAATCCCTGCTGTTTGTGTCAGGAGAATCACTTCATCTCCATTGCAAAGACAGGGAAACCACAGCAAGAGGAGACGAGATCTCCAGGGCCGCAATGGTGCAGAGGCACTGGGACACCCAGTAATGCTTGACACCTCCTTGCTGTAATGGATCTGAATGGAGACTTACAGAAAGTCACTCATGGAGACTCTGCCTCAGTTTCCCCACCTCTGTTTTGTCTGTGTTAGCGCATTTCCTGACAGACAGAGGTGTTTCAGAGTCTTAATTAAGCGTTGTTCATAAATAATGCAGGCATTATGGGATGAAAGACTCCACAGGAGGGCAAAGTATCATCCTTATCTGGCACACTTGCTTATCTGAATCCTTCCAAGTCCCACAAAGCCGAATCTTACTGAGCATGCACCAAGTATGGTTTAATATGAGATCACTGGTGAATTATTAATCATAACATACATTCTGCAGCCTGCCAGGAATGGTTATTAACGTCACTCGGTTATGTCTGCAGTGAGTAGCAGAGGGTGTGCAAGGATTTTTTTCTGGTGCTATTAAATGAATGATAGGTGGAAACATTAAAATCAACAAGATATAGAGCTGTTCCTCCCATCAAGAGCATGTCAGCTTCAGCTGAGATTATATTTGATGGAGCAATAAATAAACAGCGTCAGAAAGCAACTGATGTTCTACGTATTGAGTGCCAAAGCAAAACCAAGAACTAACGTGAAACTTCAGCGTTGAGTCAGGCTGTGTGTGGCAGCGCTGTGATAGTCCCTGCCCGTAGAGGTGCTTTGCACGAACTGCTGGGCACTTTTAAAGCTGAAATGTGTCCCCAAAGGACCGGGGCATGATGTCAACCGAGCAATGCACCCACAGGCAGCCCATGGCCGAGCGGAACGGCTCTGGGCAGCTGATAATGTACCGGTGCTGCCGTTGGTGCCGTTATCTGCTCATCACATCGCGTGTCTCGCATTCCTAGGTCCTCTGCTGAATCCCCTTATCGTCTTCTGCCCTACTGAGTCAGAGCTGAAGCAGTGGCTTTATCACCTGGAGAAGCAGATCCAGCTCAACGGAGGAAGCCTTGGCCTGCCCTTCCTCGCTCAGGTTTGTGTCTGGGGACAATGTGGGCTCAGCACTGGATGACTGGGGATTAATGCTAGCTATAATGCTAGCTACCAAGTATAATTATTCAGTCCCAGCTGGAAAACTGGCTCCTGCACAGCTTTATTTACTCTTACCTGCTTTTGACACACTTAAAAATTGTCCTGAGATGGGCCATGTGCTGGGTAAACTCCTACGGGAGGACAAGTCTACCCCGCTCAGCTGTGCCTCTGTCCCCAGAATGGCTGGCAGCAGAGCCCCGCAGCGAAGGAGGAGCTGCGGTGGTCGGTGCAGAACATGCCCGTCCAGGAGTGGAGAGGGACCCAGCGTGAATCCCTCGGCGATGTCCTCTGCGTTTCCAAAGTGAAGCTGCAGCACCTGCCTTTCCAGGTAAGGGCACATCTCTAGGGAGTGAACTCCTGTCAGGGAAGGCAAGAGATGGAGGGACCAGAGTCCTGCCTACCTGCTGCCACTAATTCAGCACGGGATTTCCAGAGCCTTGGCCTGAGGCTGCTGTCAGAAAGATGAAGTAAAGGCCCCCCAGACCTGAGCCCTGCCTGCCTGTTCACCCCCTTTCTCTTTAATTTCCAAGGAGCAGCACGACCGCCTGTTGGTGCTGTACCCATCCACGCTGGTGATCGTATCCGAAGAGCGCAACGGCCTCTGTTTTAAGGTAAGCCCATTTTGGAACTCTTCTCTGCTCTCTTTTGCCCATTTCAACCTCTATTTCAGCCTTTCCTTGGCTTGTCAACCCCTCCACCTTGTGCTCCTCGTGTTGGCAGGGGCTTCCCCTCCGCCTTGCAGGCGAGCATGCAGGGGGATGTCGCAAGCTCTCTTCCCATGAGAAACACCTTGCTCTCCTACAAAAGCCCCAGGGGGAAGAAGCTGGGTGCCAAGGAATCTGTGGGAGGAGGGAGGCTGCCGTGTTTCTGTGGGGTTGTGCTGGCAGAGAGCCTGGTGAGAGCAGAGCTGGAACAGCCTCAGAGAGCGGGGTCCTTGGCTTCCCGGGAGCTGTGGGGCCACTTGAGAGCAGGTAGCATCCATCTGGTGCTGGTGGGAAAGGGGAAAGGCAGTGATTTGGCTGGCGGGCAGAGAGGAGAGGCTGCTGCCAAGGCGGCAGCATCATGGGCACGGGAGCTGCATTGGCATTGCCCAAATGATCCTTGAACTTGGTTGCCAGCACCCACTTTAGGCATTGTTGTGATGGCTATCGAACAGCCCGGTGCTTGCTGGCCCTATTTGCCCATGCTAGAACCAATGTGCCAAAAACCGGTGCTGAACTGTCCCTGTACCTGCAGGACCACCGGAGCTGAGCTGCTCCTGAGTCACCGAGAGAGGAGCCACAGGGAAACCCCACAGAAATTTAGGGCTCGTGAATAATGTGAACTGATTAGGGTCCTTCTGCACGTGATTTCACCATGTCCCAAGTCATGCAGGCTGCTTTTAATTCAAGGGGAGACCCACATAGAGGATCTCTTGGCCAGAGGAGACGCCTGTGCCTGCAGCAGGCATGGCGTATCCCAGTCAGACCAATGCTCCATCCCAGTTCAGCAGCAGAGGGTGTTTTCCAGCAGCTGGTGACTGGTGTGACGCACTTCAGAGCTGCTTTTTGGGAACACGTTGTTTGCAGCTCCTGGGAATGGGGCACTGCGTAAGGGGCCCTTGGGCTGGGCTCTGGGATTAACTCATCTCTTTTGAAACCCTAAGCCCGATTTGTCCGCCCCGTCCGCGCAACCTTCCCTTCCCACGGTGCAGGAGCGTCGGTCCCCGGGCGCCTGGCGCGCTGGGGCAATGGCAGGGCTCTGCAGGAGTGATTCACCAGCCCGGGACACCACAAGGGGAACCTGATTTTCCACAGGCGTGTCTGGGCACGGGAGCCTTCTCCCAGGGCTTCTGCAAATTCGCTTCCCTTCCCAGATGCTGAGCCTTACCATTTGGAGGGGTAACCCGGCCCTTTTGTTCTTCAGCTTCATACAAACCGCAGGAGCTGCCGCTGCCAAGTCCGTGTGTGGGACAGGGAAGGGGAAGGCAGGGGCTGAGCCTGAGCCCATCCTCCCCATGGGATGGGGATCACCCATGGTGGGAAAAGGCCTTGGGCAAGGCGTAAATCAGCAATGGGAGAGCTGCTGGGGAGGAGGGCAAGTTCATGCCATGCCCTGCATCCGTCATCTGTGTTATTTGCGGATGCTGCAATGTGTGTGATATTTGACCCTTCAGTTCAAGAAAGACAGGGAACTGCTTGAAAGAGTCCAGCAGGGCCTCAAAGATGATGGGGCGAATAGAGCATCTCCTGCTGAGGAGCAGCTGAGGGAGCTGGGGCTCTTGAGCTTGGAGCAGAGGAGACTGAGGGGTGCCCTCATTCCTGGGGATCCATTTGGAAAGGGCAGTGTCAGGAGGAAGGAGCCAGGCTCTGCTCTGGGCTGGCCAATGCCAGGACAAGGGGCAGTGGTCCCAAGCTGGAGCACAGGAGGTTCAAGCTGAAGATGAGGCCAAAGTTTTGTGCGTGTGAGGGTTATGGAGCATGGCCCAGGCTGCCCAGAGAGGGTGTGGAGTCTCCTTGTGTGGAGACACCCAAAGCCCTGGCCGTGTTCCTGTGTGACTGCTCTGGTGATCCTGCTGTGGCAGGGGTTGCACTGGGGGAGCTTTCCAGGTCCCTTCCAACTCCTCATATTCTGTGATTCTGTGATCTGTGAGATGCTACAATGTGTGATTTATTTGTGGGATGCTGCAATGTGTGCGTTATTTGCAGGATGCTGCTGTGCTTCCCTCAGTTGACTCCAGCTCCAGGTGGGGTTCATCCCCCTCTCATGGATAAGGCTGAGCTGGGGAAGCCCTAGGCTGTTGTCCTCGGTGGCAGGAGGTCCTAACGCAGTGCTGACAGACCCTTGGCCCTCCTGCCAGGTTGCCTGTCACCGAGAATTAAAGTGTCAGCGGTGACACTTAAAGGACGTCTGGCAGCAGTGATGCTGGGCTGAGGACAGGGCTCAACGCCCGGGTGGATGCAGGGATGGCCAAGGGACACCGGGTGATGGCAGAGGGGACAGTGGTGGCACTATAGCACTTAAGGGCAATAGCACGTGGTGTGCTCTACCTCCAGCTTTTCCAGGGGCTGCTTTATCTCCTCAGCTCCCTGCTAACAGGACACGCTCCCGTCACACGAGTGGCATTCACAACTGTGCTGTGCAGCACCACAGCTCACGTTTCACCTCTGGCACGCACAGGGCTCAGCCCTGCCTTTGTAAGGCTTTGCAGGGCATGGATGGTGGGGATTCCTCTTTGCAAGGCTGGAAGTCCCAATCCAGCCACTAAAACCTCGCTTGGGACCATGTCTGCGAAATTTTCTGCAGTAGTCAGCCATTAAACTTTAAAATAAGTGGAGTTTCACCAGCCAATTGCCTGCAGAGGCTCCAGCCCTCCTAAACCTGCTTCTCTCTCCTCAGGGCGAGCTGCCACTCAACGCCATCCATGTGCTTTTTGAAGAAAATGAGAAATCCTCCTTTTTAATAGAAGGTGAGCATCCTGTGTGCCAAGGGGTGTGCAGGCAGCAGCCAGCGAGGTCTCCGGGGCTGGGATGGTTTCACTAAGATGCCGTGGCCACCTTCATGGCTGCGCTCACTCCCATTGGTACCCAGGCTCTATGGAGTGAACTGCTTGGACATCTCAGAGCATCTCTGGACATCTGAGCATTCCCAGCATCCCTGTGCCTGTTTCAGGGTGTCTGGACCAGGGGGTAGCATGGGGAGGGATGGAGCAAGGGGTTTCTGAAGGAAGTGGCACGGATGGTCAATCAGTCCTCATTAACAGCAGCCAGTCATGTTTCCACAGGCCGACTGATCAATTCGATCCGGGTGATCTGCCGCAGTTACGACGATTACCAGGAGTGGCTCTACTGCCTCAAAACTGCCCAGTTCCGAAACGCCGACTCCTCCCTGTCCGGATCAGAGAGTTTCTCAGGATCAAAGCCGCCACATCCCAGCCAGGTAACAGATGCTGGAGGTTTGCATGGTTATCAATGGACAACTCGTGTCTGTCCCGTTTCTGGCCATGTGTGAGCACTCTTGTGGCACAGCAGGCTTTGCTTCACAGCTGGTAATCCCTGCAAATTATTTTGAAGCCCTATATTACATTCTATAGGCATATACTGTGTTAAATTCCTTCAAAAGCAGACCCAGGTCTGGCTCCAGCATGGGCAGGCTGGGCTGGCGATGCTCAGGAGGGAGATGGGGCTCTGAGGGATGTGTAGGGGGTTATTTCTCCATGCTGTTCTTCTCCTCATCTAGTTTGCCGGCAGCGGGAGAGGGTCGCTGACTTCTGACGGCCGCACCAACTCCTGGGCGTCGGGAGGGCGAGGGACCACCTTGACACACCTCTCCCAGCACAGCGGCTCCCTCCCCGATGGCCAATCCTTCATGCTGGTGCCCGAAGACCCCCTCTCCCCTGGCTATTCCCAGCCTTTCCATGTAAGTGAACCCCCAGAAAAGCCTGGATGCATGTGGGGACAAGCGCTGCCTTTAAGTGGCATGTCCTGGTAGTCGGTGTTTGCTGGAGCCTGTGTTTGTCCTGGCTCAGCTTTGTCATTGCTGATAAGGGAAAAGTCTGCCGAGAACTCCCGTCTCCTTGTTTCAGAGCCTGGCACAGGCCAACTGGCCCAGCACGGACCTGCGGAGAGGGGGCAGCGCCAGGAAGTCCAAGGGCAAATGCGGGCCATGTGGCCAGCAGCTGCCCGGCCAGGACACGGAGAGGAGCATCTGCAGCCTGATTCCCGAAAACCCCAACGGCGAGCTGCTGTCCTCGGTGTACAACGAGCCGTACTCCACACCCGGCTCGCAGCATCACCCCATGGCTCCCCCAGCACGCCTGGACCTCAGCAGTGTAAGAGGGGAACTGGGATGTGGTGGGGATGCCCTGGGGAGGGCCCAGCAGCGGAGGAACTGGGTTGTGGGATGTGGGTTATGGGATGTGGGTTATGGGATGTGGGTTATGGGATATGGGATATGGGATGTGGTGGGGATGCCCTGGGGAGGATCCAGCAGAAGAACTGGGATATGGGATATGGGATATGGGATATGGGATATGGGATATGGGATATGGGATATGGGATATGGGATATGGGATGTGATGGGGACACCCTGGGCAGGGATCAAC